GGGTCAAACTTCGGTGCAAAAATCGGTCAAAAATCGGTTTTTTTTTTTTTTTTTTTATAATTCAAAATAAAAGTTGAGTCTAATAAAAAAATATGAGTTTATGCTTTATTTTGTTTATGTTAACTATTATTGATAAATACCTAATGATGTATGCAACGAATGTACGTAGACACAAAAAAAATTGCCATTTTATTTTTATTTTATAAGGATATTTATGTATTATGGTCTTATTATTATTAAACTTTTATTATGTTATTAGGATATATACATGATCGAGATAGTTATGATCGAGATATAACTATGTTTAAATATATTTTTATCTATGTTTTGAATATTTATAAATACTATCTACAAATATATTATATTAAATTTTAAAAACCGATTTATCACCGATTAATCACCGCCACACCGATTAATCGTGAGTCGGTCACTGACCGCCTCCGACCCGATTACCGCTTTTTACAACCTTGATTTCAACACATTCAACTTAAAATCAACTATTATATTGGACCCGACTATTTTCAGATATTCTTGGAAGACCCATACCTAACCACAAAATCAATCAGGAAAAATAAACCCAACAACATCATTCAAAAAATCACACCATGCCTTGCCTGCATTACCACTAGGGGTGGAGATCGGACGGATCGGATCGGATACGGTCCGATCGGATAATTTCCGATTTTTTTCGGAACCACAAAATTGATTCCGAATCCGATTCCGATTTTTTCGGAATTCAAGAACTGATTCCGATTCCGATTTTTTCGGAAATTTCGGAAAATCGGAATATTTCAGAATTATTCATTTTTTGGATTTTTCGGCGGTTTTCAAAGATAGAATGAGGGGCGGCGACAGGGCTGAGGCGCTGGTCATGCCAGAGCGAAGGAGGGGCGGTTTAGGTGTTGGTCGGCATAGAGAAATAGGGGCGGCGCTGGCTATGCTGCCGGAGAGAACGAGGGGCAGCGCTGGCGGTGCTACGCGCGTAGAGAAAGAGGAGCTGCTCAGGCGGTGCTCGATGCTCGGCGGAGAGAACAAGAGGCGGGGCTAGTGGAAGAGATAAGAGATTCTATACAGAGAAAAGAATGGCTGGTGGTGGAAGAAATGAGAGATTGCAGAGGGAGAGAGTGGCTGGTGCGAGAGGAGAGAATGAGAGAGAGAGAGAGTTAGGCAATTAGGGTTTAGAATTCACGTAGGAAGAAATTGGGTTTGGGCTTTTGCTAATGTGGGCCTAAGGTGTTGATGGGCTGATGTAGCATATTTTTTAATAAGAAAAATGTAACTTCAAATATATAATAATTAATAAATAGTAATAATTTTCGGAAATTTTCGGAATTATTCGGAAATACTTTCGGAAATTTCGGAATTATTTTCGGATCGGAATTCGTAATTTCCAAATATTTTATATACATTTCCGATTCCGATCCGATTTTTTTCGGAAAAATCGGAAATTGGAATTTCGGAAATCGGATCACAAAAAATGGTTCCAAAATCGGAAATATTCGGATCGGAACCGGCGGAAATTGGAAATTTCGTTCCGATTTCCACCCCTAATTACCACCAAGCACATACTGATACAATTTTACACCATCATTCAAAACTTCACATACTGGTACTATTTTACAACTCAACTAAAATCACACCAAGTCTTGCCTGCACTACCACCAAGCACACCCACACACACCTTATCACACCAAAGCGACTATTCTGTTGTCTCATATTTATACAAATAAACCAAGCACACTCAAATACAAATAGTCAAGAGTAGATAGTAGAAATTTTAAAACTAACTATCTTTGTCAAAGACAACTCCAATAATTTTTACCCAAATCATGTAAAATTGTCTAAATAGTAAAAAATGGTAGACGGTTTTTTCGGACATTTTGTACATATAAATAACTATTTATTCAATAAGAATAGTAGATTAATTATCTGTGTCAGTTTGCCGAATGTCGTTCATTGATTTCTTCCTACGTTATTCTGTACACCAAAATAAACAATACCAAAATAAAAAATTGGGATTTTTCGTTGGAGTGCAATGTGATATGTTTTTTAACATGACTATTTTCCGGTAGGACTACTTACTGCTCGCATACATATTTTTCATTCACTTATTACGTCGAAAATTATAAGAAAGGAGGGTATATTTGTAGTCGTTGCGTAGATGGGTACCCAATCAAAACAAATAGGGCAAATTTGTAGCAATTTTATATTAACTTAAGGAACTTCGCCGATTTTGTAGCTTCATCGGCTGTTTTTGCTATATGGATGATCGCCGATGTAGTCGTTTTCTGAGATTTTGGGTTTGGAGGTGGGATTTTTGGAAGGACTGGGGTTGCGAGATTTTGTGGATTTCATTAGATACGATTGTATCGGTTTCAATTTGCGGGATTTGTTTTTCTTTTTTCTTAACTGAGTCCTGGCTTTACACACTGCTAATTTGGGAATCACCAAAATAGAGGGTCTAACCTAAATTAGAAATGTGGGTCCACTCTAATTAAAAAAAACACTAGAGGGAGTTCTCACTAATAGCCCATTTTTGAAACATACTCTCATTTAGTATTTCTTCGGGCTTTGCTTTTTTTCTTTGCAATTACCATTATTTTCTTCATTATTTATTTGCAAGGAAGAGCCATTCCAATCACAATTCACAACATGTTTATTATTTCTTATTTTTTTCTTAAATATTTCGTAGATAATCGGATGTAGCATAGAACTTCCCAACTATTTATGAACTTGTACAGTTAAACATATCATCGTTACAACTTACACTTATAATAAAAAAATCAAATTACATGAAAAATACAAAAAAACATGATTTTTTTTTTTTTGATAAATTTACTGAACTGAAATCGAGTACAAATGACTATAGTATACCACAAGTCGTATAGTCATGTATAGTTATATGTAGTAGTGACTATACATGACTACATGTGACTGACTATATATGACTGTATATGACTAAATATAATTGTATATTCACTTGAATCAAATCACTCATGTAAGTAACCATTACTGGTTAAATTTCCATTACAGACAAACAAAACTCTCACACTTTAGGCATTTCGAATCATCTTCAAATAAATTATAATATGATTTATAATAAAAATCAAATTAATCCAAAGAAAAATATTTAAATATTAATTGTTCACAGATCTTCAAAAACATAGTAGATCAGTGTTTTTTTTATATAAATGCAGTAAATATATACAAATCGAACACCACCAATTCCAGATCTGAAATTTTAGATCTGACTACACATCGTCGGATCACAATTTAAAATTTTTGAATTTAGTTGATTTTCATAAAAAAAACAATAAAATAAGGTGAAATAGTTAAGAGAATTCAGATCTTAAAAAATAAATTACAAATGGATGGACATTCATAAATTAAAAAAATAACTTAAAAAAGTGAAGTGAATGGTTTAATACCGAGTTCAAGGCGGTGGGAGGAGCAACGACGGCCGGCACAAGGCCGTGGCGGAGCAGCGACGCAAGGCGGCGGCGGAGCAGCGAGGACGGCAGCACAAGGAGGTGAGGGGAGCGACGGCGGCGGCGGCGCAAGGAGGTGGGGGAGCAGCGGCGACGGCGCAAGGTTTGATCGAAACTGTCTAATTCAGTTACCCTCATTCTTTCTGTTTTTTACAATTCCATTTGTGCCCTCTGTTAAACAAATTAACAAAAACATTACGTAAATAATACAATGCATAAAGAAGAATACAATCAACTGTATTTAATATGACTATTTAAAAATCAACTATTTGAAATCAACGTACTTTCAAGAAGGCTGCGTTTCTTAAGTGAAGAAGACTATTTATTTTTTAAAATCAACTACACTCCACATTTTTTAAACAACTATTTATTTAATCAATTATTAAAAAACAACATTTGCCTTTAATGGTGTATGGTCTTCTCTTTTCTATAATAAACTCTATTGCTAGATCAACAGAGTCAGACAAATCAAACATAGTTGAATACAACTATATTTCAACCATTGTTCTAAAAATCGGCCGAGGCGGCCGATTAATCGGTCTCCGAGGCAGAGGCGGTCCAAAACTTTTACGGTTTTAGTGTAAAGGTTTGAAAAATCGGTTTTTTGCCTTTGAGGCGGTTTGAGGCGGTCCGAGGCGGTCTGAGGCGGTCCGAGGCGGTCAAACATTTAAGGCGGGTCAAACTTCGGTGCAAAAATCGGTCAAAAATCGGTTTTTTTTTTTTTTTTTTTATAATTCAAAATAAAAGTTGAGTCTAATAAAAAAATATGAGTTTATGCTTTATTTTGTTTATGTTAACTATTATTGATAAATACCTAATGATGTATGCAACGAATGTACGTAGACACAAAAAAAATTGCCATTTTATTTTTATTTTATAAGGATATTTATGTATTATGGTCTTATTATTATTAAACTTTTATTATGTTATTAGGATATATACATGATCGAGATAGTTATGATCGAGATATAACTATGTTTAAATATATTTTTATCTATGTTTTGAATATTTATAAATACTATCTACAAATATATTATATTAAATTTTAAAAACCGATTTATCACCGATTAATCACCGCCACACCGATTAATCGTGAGTCGGTCACTGACCGCCTCCGACCCGATTACCGCTTTTTACAACCTTGATTTCAACACATTCAACTTAAAATCAACTATTATATTGGACCCGACTATTTTCAGATATTCTTGGAAGACCCATACCTAACCACAAAATCAATCAGGAAAAATAAACCCAACAACATCATTCAAAAAATCACACCATGCCTTGCCTGCATTACCACTAGGGGTGGAGATCGGACGGATCGGATCGGATACGGTCCGATCGGATAATTTCCGATTTTTTTCGGAACCACAAAATTGATTCCGAATCCGATTCCGATTTTTTCGGAATTCAAGAACTGATTCCGATTCCGATTTTTTCGGAAATTTCGGAAAATCGGAATATTTCAGAATTATTCATTTTTTGGATTTTTCGGCGGTTTTCAAAGATAGAATGAGGGGCGGCGACAGGGCTGAGGCGCTGGTCATGCCAGAGCGAAGGAGGGGCGGTTTAGGTGTTGGTCGGCATAGAGAAATAGGGGCGGCGCTGGCTATGCTGCCGGAGAGAACGAGGGGCAGCGCTGGCGGTGCTACGCGCGTAGAGAAAGAGGAGCTGCTCAGGCGGTGCTCGATGCTCGGCGGAGAGAACAAGAGGCGGGGCTAGTGGAAGAGATAAGAGATTCTATACAGAGAAAAGAATGGCTGGTGGTGGAAGAAATGAGAGATTGCAGAGGGAGAGAGTGGCTGGTGCGAGAGGAGAGAATGAGAGAGAGAGAGAGTTAGGCAATTAGGGTTTAGAATTCACGTAGGAAGAAATTGGGTTTGGGCTTTTGCTAATGTGGGCCTAAGGTGTTGATGGGCTGATGTAGCATATTTTTTAATAAGAAAAATGTAACTTCAAATATATAATAATTAATAAATAGTAATAATTTTCGGAAATTTTCGGAATTATTCGGAAATACTTTCGGAAATTTCGGAATTATTTTCGGATCGGAATTCGTAATTTCCAAATATTTTATATACATTTCCGATTCCGATCCGATTTTTTTCGGAAAAATCGGAAATTGGAATTTCGGAAATCGGATCACAAAAAATGGTTCCAAAATCGGAAATATTCGGATCGGAACCGGCGGAAATTGGAAATTTCGTTCCGATTTCCACCCCTAATTACCACCAAGCACATACTGATACAATTTTACACCATCATTCAAAACTTCACATACTGGTACTATTTTACAACTCAACTAAAATCACACCAAGTCTTGCCTGCACTACCACCAAGCACACCCACACACACCTTATCACACCAAAGCGACTATTCTGTTGTCTCATATTTATACAAATAAACCAAGCACACTCAAATACAAATAGTCAAGAGTAGATAGTAGAAATTTTAAAACTAACTATCTTTGTCAAAGACAACTCCAATAATTTTTACCCAAATCATGTAAAATTGTCTAAATAGTAAAAAATGGTAGACGGTTTTTTCGGACATTTTGTACATATAAATAACTATTTATTCAATAAGAATAGTAGATTAATTATCTGTGTCAGTTTGCCGAATGTCGTTCATTGATTTCTTCCTACGTTATTCTGTACACCAAAATAAACAATACCAAAATAAAAAATTGGGATTTTTCGTTGGAGTGCAATGTGATATGTTTTTTAACATGACTATTTTCCGGTAGGACTACTTACTGCTCGCATACATATTTTTCATTCACTTATTACGTCGAAAATTATAAGAAAGGAGGGTATATTTGTAGTCGTTGCGTAGATGGGTACCCAATCAAAACAAATAGGGCAAATTTGTAGCAATTTTATATTAACTTAAGGAACTTCGCCGATTTTGTAGCTTCATCGGCTGTTTTTGCTATATGGATGATCGCCGATGTAGTCGTTTTCTGAGATTTTGGGTTTGGAGGTGGGATTTTTGGAAGGACTGGGGTTGCGAGATTTTGTGGATTTCATTAGATACGATTGTATCGGTTTCAATTTGCGGGATTTGTTTTTCTTTTTTCTTAACTGAGTCCTGGCTTTACACACTGCTAATTTGGGAATCACCAAAATAGAGGGTCTAACCTAAATTAGAAATGTGGGTCCACTCTAATTAAAAAAAACACTAGAGGGAGTTCTCACTAATAGCCCATTTTTGAAACATACTCTCATTTAGTATTTCTTCGGGCTTTGCTTTTTTTCTTTGCAATTACCATTATTTTCTTCATTATTTATTTGCAAGGAAGAGCCATTCCAATCACAATTCACAACATGTTTATTATTTCTTATTTTTTTCTTAAATATTTCGTAGATAATCGGATGTAGCATAGAACTTCCCAACTATTTATGAACTTGTACAGTTAAACATATCATCGTTACAACTTACACACGCACACATATACATATTTATTTTTATATGGGTTTATACATTAAATATTATTCTAATTGAAGTGACATATATATTAGGTCAATTTAGCCTTTTTTTTTCTTGTATCTACCTAAATTCTCTTTATCATTGTCATTCATATCTATCTATAAATATATATATATAACTGTGTCCAAATACAAACAAGGTAGAGAAAAATACTTTAAATGGTATGTTTGAAGATTTTTATAATTAAAAAATATTATCTATTTTCTAATATATACATAGGGCTTATTATGGCTTATCATAAATAAACCCATCATGGGCTACTTATTCATAAATGGGTATTTTTGCCTTTTACAAAAACATACGGACAATGTCCAGAGGTGTGTAAAAGACAAAAAACCCCCTCACATTTTAATATGCTCAAATTTCACATTTAATCCAATTTAACCTAATTATATAACAATCTTCGTAACATAAATACTTACTTGCTTGTCGAAAGAACTAGAATTGTAAAGTACGCAAAATTTATTGAGGCTTGCTATGCAATTCCATCAAGACAATATTTACGGGATGCCGAAAGTGCGCACTCTCTTCCCGATAGTTTCTCAAGGTACAATAATCGGCTATCAAATATTTGCACTTAAATCAGACCCACTTATATCGAATTTTTGCAATAAATTGAGGCAGTAATTGGCTAAATTATGTCTTCATATATAAATGTTAAAATGTCAATTCGTGAAGGGATGTGAATATTTGAGATAACATTGGTCCAAACAGGCATAACTATTCATGGTGTTTGTTCTGCAATGTTGGAAACACGTATGTTCACAATTGCCACTAGAATTATTGGGGTTGGGTTGTAGGCTTGGGCTTTTAAATTGTTTGTTATTATTGGGCCAACCAATTTAATTCGGACTAAATGTCTGAATTCAATTATTTTAATTCAAAAGTAATATCCTCTTGGAATCCCAGTCCAAGTTTGAACCTAACTCGCCCGTTGATTGGATGACGGTGGTGGTGCTCACGCACTTGCTTTTTGAACGTTGACCATCTATGTTTTTTCCAATCCAATATATCGACTTTAGAGACGATTTTCTTTCAACCTGTCATGGTTTTGAACAAGTAATATATGAAATTAATGTTCTTATATAGAATAACACAATTCAATTAATATTACTCAATATTAATTAGTCAAAAAATCATAGTATAAATCATGAACGTTCCAACAATTCGTCACATGAATAAAATGTTCGTCCAGCCTTATGACATGAGACATAACTTACAAAATTGCTTTTAGGAATAGTACGGCATTAGGATAGGTGAAATATTTTATCTTGAACATTCTCTTGTTAAACGTTATCGGATTTACATAGCCAATCAGTGAATTATTTCGTCTTGAATAGTCGAACATTTGAGTAAACCAAACAATAAACTTAACACCGTACTATACAAACTAGTTACAAGTTCTCGATTGTGTTTGTTTTTGTCCAGAAGAATTCCAGCCTTTAAGAATTCTCAACGAGCAGACCCGACCCACACTAATGTAGGTGATCATATCTATAAAGAGTATCATACTATAGCTCATTTGTACTTGACAAGATATAGATGTCATTAAAAGAAATTGCTTAACGTTTTTAAACATCATAGATTCCACTTATTGCATCACATGAATAAAATGGAGTTACACTCTTAAGTGCTAACTTTATTTAAGTTACAAAAAATTGGTTGTCCTATTGAACTTGGTGTTATAGTAGGTGACCGACAAGTGAGGTTGTGGTCTTTCTTGTACTTGTCTAAAACTATTGATTTCTTATTAATGAAATTCACCTATTGACATTCTATATTGGTAGTCCCATGGATATAGTACTAATGAGTTACTCTATTACTTTGAATTAGTCTAGTAGAGTCGTGAGATAATTCAATATAAGTAATGTGATTGTTAAACCAATTCATAGTCAAGACTAGCACTTAGTGTATGCGTATTGCGTCTCATCAGTCATCGGTGTTGTGACATCGGCATACTTGAGTGGGTGCTCGTATAGATGAGTTCAATGAACTTCCTCGCCCTAGAAATCTCTAACTGGCACCCATTTATTGAGTAGAGGTTTCTATGGTATAGTTGTACACCATTAATCCTGAAGACCCAGACATCACCGTGACTTCACTAGAGGACTAGTTGTATCGTGAATTGTTCTTAAGTCTCATCGAAGATCCAAGGTCTAATGTTCGTGCAATCCGAAATCTAGTGTGAAATTTGTGTATTGTAATAGGGGTTCTACGCAGTGATAACTCATTTGATGTCATGTGTATTCTATCAGTTTATAATCCATGAAATCTTTGGCCGCCGTTGATAGTGGATGATTAGAGAAAAATGTTTTCTCTAAGTGACGCACTAACGGATTATATTACTTAGAACGGATTATATTACTTAGAATATTCACACAATTATCAAACATATCAGAGATCTCGAAGGACCAATGCCTCTTATTTGATTGGGACATATGCATTGAAAGGATCGTACTGTACGTTAACTATATCACACGGTTCTTCTAGCATTTCATTTGTATTTAGGGAATTATGATGTGTAGTTGCTATAATTCGTTGGGCATTCACCAATTTGATCGGTGATTAAGTTAAAACGAGTTTTTTCTTAATTGAGACTCTAGAGAAATGTCCATATAAGAACAATATGTTGTTTGAGTCATAAAGAGTTGTGTGCCCGTGGCTAGCATACACCCGAACCATTGAGGGTCACACTTCTCGTGTATTAGAGATCCTTGAATACACTTAGCTAAGATCAAGTTGTTTATATCATCATTGGAGTCAATGTGATTGGATCCAAGGTTCATAATTTTTTTATTACATATTGGAATAAATAGAGAGAAGAGATATATGCGAAATTTAACAGGCTTTAAACTCATTCCCCTTAATGCATATTTAACTCTCTCCTGGATAAACCTTTGGTAAATGGATCCCTAGAGAGTAAATGTCTCACAATATATGTCTACGACCAATATGTCGAGACTTACCTTAATACTTGATATATTATGAGCTCTAAGAGTCACATGCGTACATATTGAGTTGGCTTCACAATGAAGACAAACCGAAGACATCAAAAGACATAGATAAAATCATATGTGCCGAAATCCGAGATCAGGTAACAGACCGAAAGATGTACGATTTGGTTGAGAAGTATATGATTCACGACCCGTGCGGTCTGGCCAATCAAAACTCTCCATGAATGAAGGACGAGTTTTGCACGGATTTATTTCCAAAGATTTTTGTCGACCG